TGCAGTGCCATGTGGGTCAGCTCCCTGGCCAGAGATCGATCTTGTGCTGCAGTGGCTGCCAGATAGCTTGATAGCACTGACTTTAACCCCTGAACCACCAGGGAGGCCCAGTGTTAACATTTAAAAAAAAAATAGTCAGGATTTATTGGATAATCAGGGGGAAAGTGTTTAACATGTTTGAGAGCCTGGGTCAGGGAGTCACTGGCTGTGATCTGGATTGAGAAAGAGTGAGCATCTCTTTGGGGGCCCATTGGAGGGGCAAGAGAAGGCAGAGGAGACAGGATCTGAGCTGCCTTGTCTGTTGCCTGTGCCCTTGACCAAGCCTCACTTAGGAGGCTCCGTCTCATCACCCATTAAACAAGGCTAATCATGAGAGTCGATAGACTCAGCTGTGTGGACACACTTATTCAAATCTCGCCTGGACCACAGAGTCCGAAGCAGTTATTACTAGCTTAAGCAAGTGTTGCCACCTCTGGTCCTCGGTGTCCTCGTTCTTAGTAAGGACAAAATGGACTTTGGTCTAAGGTGCTGTGATGAAGGCAAGTAGGGGTCTAGTGCAGTGCCTGCTTCCACAGGACATGTAACTACATGCTCAACCAGTACCTTCGGACTCTGGGGCTAATGAAGAGGTGTGACCCCCACCTTTGCCTGTTCTTTCCCTCTCACTTCCCAGGCATTCCCCAATCTTTCTATCCTTTGCCTGCCTTGACTGAAATTGGCGGCTGGGTGGGGTGAGGAGGGTGATACGAAGCTCCTGAGCAGGGCAGAGACATCTTTGCCAGTGTCCAGAGTCCTCACTTGCCCCCAAAGTGACACAGGGGTGACAGGTGGGGGGAAGGCTGAGTCATATCACCAGGCTCAGCCCTACCAGCTCTGCCATTCTTCTGAACTCCCCAGATCACTCATCATCCCAGGGGCCCTGGGTTCCCACACTGTGCCCTGAGAAAGGGCAGAGGGAGAGGGTAAGAAAGCCCAGAATTAGTCAGAAGAACCAAACTAGAATCACCCACTACAGTGTGCCCAGCCTGTGCCCAGACGATGACCTTTCAAAGGGCCCCTGCCACCCCACCCTCTCCTCGCAGTCTCTGGGGTGGGGAAGGGGCAACCTTCACCCTCAGGGTGGGGCTCCTGTGATGTGTTTGTCTAAATGCCACACCAGGCGCTCTCAAGAACACGATTACCTTTGATCTATGAGGCAGCGTGCGCAGAAAGCCATCTCCATTCTTCAGATGAAAACAGAAAGTTTCCAGGCGGCTGGGAGGTGCCCTTGACAGGCTGGGCACAGCCAGAGTCCAGCTCCCATCAGGGTCTGATTTTAGCTCTCAGCTCTTTGCCAACTGCCGTTAAGAAAAAAACTTACAGAAATATTTGAAAATAAAGAAATTGGAGGCAAGGGCGGGGTGGGGGCGAGGCCAAGGAGAGAAAGGACTCAGCAGTCCCCTTCTAACAAATCCCGTCAGAAGGTACCGCATTTCTTTCCAGCCTTTGTGTGTCCGTCTCCAACACGACCAGCGTTCCTGTGTCATGCATGAACTTGACCGCCTTCCTTTTGCTCATGTTATTTCGTGGAGATGGAGGACACCCCATGCTCAGCCCTTCAGGAGGTAGTTAATGAGTCCCTTCGACATGACACACCAGGTTGTTCCTGGCATTGGGGTTACAGCATAGACTAAAACAGACAACCCCCTTCACTGCTGGAGTTCTTATTCTGATAGGGGAGAAAAAAACCAACAAAGAAAGAAAATAGATGTCATTCCAGGGGTTGTTAGGCCAAGAGAAAAGACACATAACTATGTGCTTAACACTTATCCTAGACAAAGAAAAGAGCAGGAGAGGGGCCTCAGTGGTGGCGCAAGGGGTTAAGACGCAATCTATGAAGCTATCTGCAGCCACTGCAGCAAGAGGTCGATCTCTGGCCAGCCAGGGAGCTACCCACATGGCGCAGCAGACCTCTCCTGTCTTGCCCGCTCCTCCCCTCAGCAATGTATTTCAGTCGGTCTGCCTGTTCTGTTCCCCACTCTGTCTCTCGTGAATCCTCTCATCTCCCACATCTCTGGCCTGTACCCCCAGCTCTTGTATGAATAAATAAATAAATTTTGAAAAAAGAAAAGAGCAGGAGACAGTTTTATCCAAAGGACTTTATAGCGTGTAACATTTTGCTCCAACAAAACTAGCACGAACAATTCTCTTCCGTCCTCCAGGCTTGAAGAGTGTGGGTGTATTTAACACAAACCATTGTGTTATCTATTTTCCTTTAATCAACAGTGCTTTTCTAATCTCAGTTTAAGTAACTTCTCTGGTTTAATGAAGGCATTACTCCACTACCGTGGGACACCCAGGTTCTTCCCTTTCAGGTCTAAGTCTTTAAAAACTTCTCTAACTCAGTGCATCAACCTTTTCTTACTTATTATTATTGTCTTAAAAGAGCGTGGCCCAGTGAAATTCCAGGGTCAAATGGAATGAATATTTTGGAGAGATGAGATAGAAATATTTTTTTAAGATTTAGTTATTTATGCATATAAGAACTGGGGTACAGACCAGAGGGGTGGGGGTGAGAGGACTCACCAGAGACAGAGTGGGGAGCAGAACAGGCAGACTGACTGAAATACACTGCTGAGGGGAGCAGTGGGTGAGACAGGAGAGGTCTGCTGTGCCATGTGGGTCACCTCTCTGGCCGGGGATCAAACTGGTGCTGCAGTGGCTGCAGATAGCGTCATTGGTTGCATCTTAACCCCTTGCACCAGCAGGGAGGCCCCAAGAGATAGGAATATTTTTAAAGCTCTTGATATAGCCTCACAAATCACTTTGTGCTAGAATCTATGTACAGTCCTACCAGCAACACACAGGATGTGCTTCTCTAGCCAGACCCCTGCCGAGCATGTGCCTCCTCTTTCCCCTGTAAGAAATGGGGGTCCATGGGTTTGCATCCATCTTGTCTGAGTATGAGGAAATTTCCTAGGGACACAGGGCAGACTAATTCACTGACCCGCCCAAGCAAAAGGGGGGCCTTTTTTTCTCCACTGGCTGGAGTTCTGCATTGGGAGGGAAATGCTGTTTCAATAACTGCTGTAGCAGGAGACAGAAATGCTGAGACGCCTTCTTTCTGTCTGTTTGCAGGGAACTCAGTTAGTCTGAGAAGCAGCTGAGTTTTCAGAAAGGGATGCATCTGAAATCTGTCCTGCTGGCACCGAGACCCCCAGATGGAAGACTTGTCACTTAGGGTGTGTGGGAGGAAGGTGGGGTGAGATATTCCACCTGCTCTAATCCACCAGCCTCAAATGGTGCAGAGAAAGGCCGTGATACCAGAGGGTCTGCAGCAGCCTGAGGAATGCCCAGGCTTCAAACCCTCCCAGCCCAGAGCTGAAGTCCCCATCCCAATGGGGACTGACCCAAGGGCCTTCCAATTACCAAGTTCCTTTTCCTGCACTGATGGAAATTTCTCTAGGCCAAACTTCTTTTTTTTTTTTTTTAAAAAGATTTATTTATGCATAGAAGAGCTGTAGTACAGGCCAGAGGTGTGGGGAGTGAGAGGATTCATCAGAGACAGAGTGGGGAGCAGAACAGGCAGAACTACTGAAATACATTGCTGAGGAGAGCAGCGGGCGAGTCAGGAAAGGTCTGCTGTGCCATGTGGGCAGCTGGCTGCAGAGGCTGCAGATAGCATCTCAGTGCTGTGCTTAAACCCTTGCGCCACCAGGGAGGCCCTGGGCCAATCTTCTTAAAAAAGTATGGACCCTGAATTTCCAAACCCCCCAGAAACCTCCAAGGACAAGCCAGAGTCAGAAGATGGAGAATGCCAAACATTTGTAGGTCTCAAAAAGAACAGGAAAAAAGGCTCTATAGATACGTGAAAATCACAACATGTTTCCTCTTTGAAGCGCCGCCTGGCTGGCAGACGCTCTTCGATCTTTTTTTCTCTCTGTAACCTTCAAAATGTGAACTGTCCTCTAAAATAATAAAAATAAATGATTCGCTGCTCTCCCTGGCACAGCTAGCCCCCTGGGGCTCAATATCATGCAGAATCCTGCCTACCCTGAGGTGAGTTTCAAGTCCTGGGGGGAGTCCCTCCTGACCCAGCAAGCGATTCTCTGCTGACACTCATTTTAGCTCCTCCTGCTCAACTGAAGAACGACACAGTCAGGGTCAAGCCAGGGCTGGCAGAGGTGTTTATTGAAAAATGTGAACTCACAGGGAAGCCTCCCGGGTGTGGTGGAGGGACAGACAATCTGGAAGCCTGGAGGGAGACCTCAGAACCCTCTCTTGGGTGAGTCCTAGCTTCGGGGAAGTGGGGAGAAGATACAAAAGGAGGCCTGGTCTAGCCTTTCTGGGCAATTGTCCAGAGGAATCCACTGGGCAGTTACACTGGGGCTCGTTCCCATGGCTTTGGTGAGCTTTGAAAATAAAAGTCTGAATGGATGGTGAGGAGTGATGCGGCAAACACAGCTGTAAAGATGACTGCGTACAGAAGGGGTCGGTTCCCATCTCTAGATGTTCTGCAGAGTGAGAGGCACAGGAGGGCTGGGAGGAGGTGTTTCTTGGAAGGCAACTGGCTATTGTAGGGGCCGAAGGAAGCAAAGCCGGAGACCAGCGTGGCCTTTGAGGATCGGGGTTGATGTTGTGAGAAGTGTCACTGCCGGTGGAGCGGGGAGGAAACCCGCTTCCCTCCCTTCTACTTGGCAGAAGCCTGGGTCCCCAGGTTGCTGCGTCTCCAGGTTGCTGCCTGAGCCTTCTCAGAGGCCTGGAGAAAATCAGAGCAGGGGTTCACTGGGTTGAGAGAGCGGCCAGCCCCGCAGCCTGGCTCTGGGGCTGTCGCGGGGAGTGGGGGAGTTCAACGAGTTCTGAAGGCGGGGGAGGGGGCCTCCGGGGGAGGGGGCTGGGGGGGCGGGGCGAAGCGGATGGCTCGGGGCCTGGGAGTCCCTGAGAGCTGCAGGCTGCGGCCCCCAGCGATGGCCGCTCTGGGGCGTCCCGCCCACCTCCTGGAGCCGCGCTCCCCGCGCGAGCTACAGGGAGGCCGCGCGCCCCCAGCTGCAGGTCCGACTCCGGAACACCGAGCTGCTGTCCCTGGAGAGCGAGGACGCCGAGCTGATGCGGCGCGCCCCGCGCCCGGAGCACCCGCAGGTCTGGCGCCGCACCTGCGCGCGGAACGAGCGGTCCAGCAGCAGGTAGATGACCGGGTTGGCGCAGCTGTTGACGAAGGCCAGGCAGGTGGTGAGGGTGAGGCCCCAGCGCAGCGCCAGGAGCAGGCGGCAGGGCAGCGGCAGCACCCCCAGCCGCGCCAGGTGGAAGACGGCCCGCAGCGCGCTGAAGGGCAGCCAGGAGCCCACGAACGCGCTCTCGATGGCGAAGATGAGGCGCAGCGAGTTCCTGCGGGCGCGGCCCAGGTGCGGCGCCCGGCGCAGGCGGCGCGAGATCAGGCAGTAGCAGCAGAGCGTGATGCCCAGGGGCAGCACGAAGGTCAGCAGCAGCAGCAGCAGGCTGAGGCCCTGGAAGGCGTCGGAGGGCTCCTCGGCGCACTGGCTGCCGCCGCCCCCGGGCAGGGGCTGCAGGCCGCGGTAGGCCAGGGCGGGCAGGCCGGCCAGGAGCGCCGCGGCCCAGACGCCGCCGCACACGGCCAGGGCGCAGCGCGGGGTGCGCAGCGGCCGCGCGTCGAGCAGCTTCACCACCGCCAGGTAGCGGTCCACGCTCATGCCCGCCAGCAGCAGCGCGCCCGCGCAGCGCGTGGCGGCCAGCGCGAAGCTGCTGAGCTTGCACAGCCCCTGGCCGAAGGGCCAGAGGCCTCCGCGCGCCGCCGCCACGGCCCACATCGGCAGCGTCAGCACGAAGCCCAGGTCTGCGGCCGCCAGGTGCAGCACGAAGGTGTCCACCAGCCGCCGCGGGCCGCGCCGCCCCGCCAGCAGCCACACCACGAAGCCGTTGCCCAGCAGGCCCACCACGAAGGCCGCCAGGTAGAGCACAGGGATGTAGGCGTAGCTGTAGGGCAGGTCCCCCGATGGACACACCTCCAGCTCCTCCAGGGCCCCGGACCCTGACCCAGAGTAGTCCCAGAATGCTGTCCCCGGGTTGGGGCTCCAGAGCTCGGTGCCGGGCATGGCTGGGCCGCGAAGCCTGGGCGGGTGGCAACCCTGGGCGCCACAGCAGCTCTGAGTGGGGGTAGGCACTTCACGGCAGGTGCGCAGCACCTCCCTTCCTGCCACCCCAGACTGAAGCCAATGGGTGGGCAGGAAGGTCGAGGCGGAGGAAAGGAGGGGTAGGGTGGGAGGGGCAGGTTCCTGTGGTGCTTGGTGGACCTCTATTTGGGGCTGATCCTAGGGGCAGGGCAGGGCAGGGAGGGGCGGAGGGGCTTCACAGCTGGGCCCTGGGAGAAGTCCTGGGGCTGGGAGGCATGCCCTGCACCCCCTCACCCCAGCCCCAGGCGCGAGGGCAGCTTGCCCCCTTGAGTAGCTGGGTTTCTTTGTTTATGAAATGGGGTCATAAACCACTTCAGGGGTAGGCTGTTGGGTGGCAGAGGTGATGGGTGCTCCACCCTCTTCTTTTCTCCCCCCACTGCACACCATCCGCTGCCTGACGCTGCTGTTCTCTCTAGTTTTAGAGGTGAAGTGGCAGAGCCCAAGCTGAGGATTTTATGGGGGGATGGTGCTTCAGCCCTTCCAGCCCCTCACTGTCGGAGGGGACGCAGCTGTCGGGTGCATGGTAGCCCAAGTGGGTGGAGGAGCCCACCTTCTGGTCAGGAATTGGCCCAGAGTTCCCAAGTCCTGGGTGGTCCCCTGGGATGCTGGGCTCAATGTCTTATCCCAAAAAGTGACTTTTCCGACCAAATCAGGTTCTCCTGGAGCCGCACAGCAGAGTTTTCATCGAGAGAGGACGGGCATTGTCAGGTTATCCAGATGGAAAGAGCAGAGCCTGGGGTTCGAGTTCCAGCTTGTCCCCATCTGGTAGAACCTGTCAAGCCAAGTAGAGGCGCCAGCTCAGGAGAAAGGTGGCATGGATGATGCCTCATGCAGCGCCAGCTCCCTTGTCCTGAACGAGGACTTGGGAGCTGAGCGAAGGGGAGGCCCCTGGGACTGGTTTATGAGAATCATGGACAAGAGTGGGAATGAAGTCTCCCCTTGAAGGGGGAGGCGGGGAGGAAAGCGCGCGCTTTGTCTGGAAGGCGGCGGGCAGCAAGGATTCTGGGCAGCTCCAGCTTTGTCTGAGTTCCTAGCACACATCCCTCCCGTGGGACGCTGCGTTCACAATTCAGGGGAGCCCGAGCCGGAGACCACCTGCTGCCACTGTCATGACGGGCTGACACCTCTGAAGTCTGGTGTTGAGCTTTGAGACAGCTGAACACTGGGTTTGCCTGAGCCCAGGCAGCGGGGAGCAACTCCAGGTGATGGGGGTTTCTCCAGGTGTGGGCCCTGGAGGCAGCGCCATGGCGGTGAGACGGGGCCAAATGGGAGCAAATGCTGAGAAGAGTCTCCTGCAGGGGAGTGAAGGAAGTGCTTCTGATGGAAGGGGTAAATCAGAAAAGACCTTCCTGAGGGGGCGATACCTGAGGTCAGTTCCTGGACCCGGTGTGACCAGAGCCCAGGTGGGAGCAGGGTGCCGGAGAGGAAGGAGGTTTGGATGTCAGATTGTAGGCTGTGGGGAGCCCCGGGACACTTTAGGGCACAGCATCCGCCTGGTGTGAAATCACTGGCGGAACTGGGGAATAGAGGGCACGCGGCTCAGGCCAAGAAACCCCCAAAGGAGGCTGGTGTAATGATTTGGGGGTAGGAAGGGTGGCGACAGAAAGGAGAAGCCCAACCCCAGTGCAGCATCTCGGGGTTCAGCAGAGAGGGAACTGGCGGGCCTGGGAGGCTGTTTGAGAACCGCATGGTCGCTGTCCCGGTCACTGAGGTTGGAAACAGGGACTTGCACGCATTTCCATTTGCTGCTGAGTAGAGGCAATGAAGTCATTCATGATCTAAACCAGGGCACTTCTGAGAGTGAACGAGGCACCATCATCACCAACCTGGCCATCAAGCAGGGCTGTCTGGACAAACTAGCAGTGCAGTCCCTGTGGTCAGCACAGACTGCCAGGAGCCAGAGACTTGAGAGAGCCGGCACACACGTGTCCAGGTTGGCCCTGTCAAGAATTTCCCCCCTGGGCCAATTATACGATGGGGAAAAGCAGCTAAGAGAAGAGTGCAGGGAATGGGTGGTTTTCGGCCTGTCCTGCTTGAGCATCTAGGCTCCAAGCCTAGGCGAAGACTCCCCACTAGAGGTTGGAGACCTCAGGCGCTGCAGGGGATTCAGAGCAGTTTTTCTAGCTTCTGATCACATGGTTGCTGATGAGTGATGCCCACATCCTGGGTGGCCCAGGGGACTGCAGCCTGGGCCTAGGTGAGCAAGGGCAGACCCTGCTAGCCAGAGTCCAGGGATAATCGGAGGCAGGTCCAGAGCTGTTGGATTTCACTTTCCCTCGGGCATGCCTCAGTCTGGAGCACAGGAGCATAGTGATCCTGAAAACTAGATACTGAGCTGAGCAGAAGGATGGGGCGAGCGGACCAAGAGGGGAATACTGCAGGGTGGAGGGGGAAGTAGAAGTAGGTTGTTTATTCAGAGAATCTTGCTTCCTGGGGCTGTTGTCTTTACCCAAGGGAAGTGTGTGGCCCAGAGCGTGACAGATTTTCTCCTCAGGGCCTGAGTCCTGTGGCCTGAGTGTGTCCAATGGAAGGAAGCGTGAAGGCCAGAGCTGGGGGCAGCTCTGTGGGCCTGGCTTTCCATGTGGCTGGCTTGATTTCAGTGACCAAGACCAACGCCATGGTATTGTTCTCTCTTCTTCCCCTTGAGGGAAGGAGTTCCCCGCAGGATTAAAAACAAATCAACCACCAGTTTCCCCTGATATCTGAAAGTCGCAAGTTCCTATTTGGGTGACTTCATAGGTTCTTTTTTGGGGTCTGGGAATGCACAAAAAAATTTGATGGTAATAGCATTCCCAGATCCAAAAAAGGACCTACGAAATCATTCCAAATAGGAATGTCTCATTTTGGGTAGCGGGAGAAACCTGTAATGGGAACACTCCAGCTGAGAATCCTGGCCACGTGGATAAGTGTCACTGAGCAGAATGGAGGTAGATAGTAAATTGGCACTAGAGCGGTTCCCCCTCTTTCTCCATCCCACCCCAAGAGCCTTCTCTGACTCGGGTCCATAACAGCAGGAGCCACCGGGCTGACAGTTAGGTGGGTCTGCTGGGCAGTGCCCTCGGGATGGTAAAATCCCTGGGGGAGCTTGTCTACTGTGACTGGCACAAGCCTGAGCCAGAGGACATAGTTTATAAATAAACTCCCATGGCTTTGAACTAAATGCCTTCAGGCAGAAGTTTATTTTATTTCTGCTTCTTTCTGAGCTATCAATTTAAGGTCTTACAACTCCCCCTGCCCCCATTTAATTTTCCTGTACAAATAATCTTTTCTTAACCCTTTAGGGAAATATTTGAAATTATATTTACCTTTTTCTTCATAAAAGCCATATAACCACGTTCTAGAAAAAAGAGTAAGACAAGGCATCCCTGCCTGGGGAGCAGCACACCACAGGCCGCCTGTGCACAAATTTCTTTCCCACCAGTGAAGATACTGTCGAAAGGAAAGAATTCCCTGGCAGTGTCACTGCTCTTTGGTTTTATATTTTTTCACAAGCAACGATAGTTGTAATTAGAACATACAGCTCTACAGTCTGCTTCTCTCCGTGCCACGTGAATCCACGCCTTTTCTTTCTTACTTAATTTAGGAATACCATAATTTTGAACATTTTCCAAAACTGTTTCCAGTATGTTTTTACTGTTACAGAATCTGTGAGAAATGGCAGTGCTGATTTCTCCCTTCAAGTTTTCATAGTTTGAGTGCCCTCACAAGGTCAAGGGCTGAAAACTGCCACGGCTTGGAACAGATGCTTGCAGACTGCCACCCCGGACGGGCCTGCTAGTGCAGAAGGTGCTGGTTTCGGCCCGCCTGGTTAGAGATGATATCAGTCAAGTATGTTTTTCCACTTTAACAGGCAATGGTAAGATGGCAGATCTCATTTTAATCTCTTTGCATATAAATAAGATCGAAAGTCTTCCCATATTGAATCCTCTCCTGTGGTGTCTGATCATGTGCGTCACATGTTTATCTTCCACAATCTTACCGTGGGGCAGCTCTGGTTTTCTCATCTTGCTGCCAGACCGAGCAGCTTTGCCCTCCTGCCCACCAAGGACAGGTGCTTTCTTTGCACAGAGTGGTTAGTCGGTGAATGTTTTCCGAACTGCATTGGGAATCTAGATAATCCCCGTCTGGGGCTCTTCAGGACTCAACCTCCCCAGTTCCCGGGGCCTGATGGTGCCTCCCACCAGGCAACAGAATGCTGCAGAAACTGCTGGTGGGCACAGCACGGGCTGGGGCCTGTTTCACTGTGGCCTTCAAGGTTAACAGCACCTGAGCACTTGAGTGTGGGGAAAGTGTTGCAAAGACACTGTCTCCTGGAACACCATTTCTTGTTAAGTACTGAGCTGGGAATGGAGGGTCCTCTTCTCACTACTATTGAAGCCACCACGATGGGGTTTTCCATAGACCTCCTGGTTCCTAGATCTCGTGTGTGCATGTGCATGCGTGTGCGTGTGTGTTCAGCAGAGAAGCACCAGTCAGTTCCTGCTGCTGCCCTGCAGCCTCACTACTTAAGGCCCCACCCTGCAGCCCTCAGAATGTTTTAGACGTTCAATTACTTTATTTCAGGAACTTTCGGGTACTAAACACGGAATCACTGGACAGGATATCACCTGAGCCAGTCGTGGGCCTTTGGGCTTTATTCAGGGTAGGCCTGTGTCCGCAGCTAAGTGGAGTCCAGTCGCCTGGACTTGGCGGTTGTCTGGTGACCTGGGGGAGGGCAGGAGCATGGGAAGGATGAGGGAAAGACTAGCTTTCAAGGAAACACTCCCGTGTTTACTCCACTGCGGGTTTCCATAGCTCAGTTTCTTTTGAAACTAAAAACAACCTCGCCACAAACTTAGTAGGCAAGCAGGAGGGAAGTCCCTCGAAATAAAAATGGCCCCAGAATTTGTTTGGAAAGGAAGTAACGTTTTCTTTTCGTAATAATTACTGCCCACAGAAACTTCTAAACCAAAACTTGCCACTACTGTTC